GATAGTTGTATTCCTATGGTATTACGCAAAACAGACATGCACGCAGTAAAACTAAAATTATAACCAGGGTAGGCAATTTATGCATATTTTATAAATGCAGCATAAAATTCTAATAAATTTCCAACATTTTGTATAGATTTTGTTAGTATATAGCAATTGTTAATATTTTTAATTTTAATTAAAAGTAGTTGGTTTGTGTTGGGACACCCGATATATATTAAGAAATCTAATTTTTATTTTATTTAAAAATCTCAAAAATATTGTGAACAACCATTTCCAATGGTTAGTATAGTTTCACTTTAGATATGAAGTTTAGAACTTTATACAAAACATCTATGTTTACAGTAGATATGTATGTCCCAAATGATAAAGTATCGATAAAAACAATCAATTTTAAATTAAAATTCTAAAATTCCTAAACAAAACAATTATTTGTAATTAATTATAATATTGATTATAATAAATTTATATTTACTCTAAAACTAAATTACCACAGTAACTTTATAATATACTGTATGTATATGTATAAGAGTATTAAAATGTGTTTTATTAGTTGACACGAGTATTATTAGAGTGTCGGGGCTGAGGACACAAGATTGCCGCCGTCCACAGGGATGAGAGTACCCGTCATAAAGGCAGCCCTGTCTGAGGCCAGGTATGCGACCATTTCCGACACATCCTCCGTCTCCCCGATACGACCCAATGGGTACGACGTCTCACAGAAGTCTACCAATCCGTCCAACATTTGGTCCGTTCCCGACATTGTCGTGAATAGAGGGGTCCGTATGACAGCAGGACTGGCAAGTGATACACAATTTAATTAACAATTTTAAAATATTTTTTGTTATATTTACTTAACACTATTCACTCGAATGCCTTTGGGTCCCAACTGTACGGCTAAACACTTTGTAAACATGTCCAGGGCACTTTTGGCCATACAATAGGCAATCATAGGTGCACACTTGTTCATTATACAATATAAATTATAGTTAGTAATTTGATAAGCAGTAAATAAAAATTAAAAATAGTTTATTAATAAATTGAATTAAAATATTTACGGTTCTGAGTCCTAAAACACTTGAGATGTTAATAATGTTTCCTTTGGTTGTCTCGAGATATGGAACCACTAATTGAGTCAATACTTGAATACTCCGGACATTAGTGTTCATCACTGTATCAAACTCTTTGAGATAACCTTTTGAACCAAATTCACACCATTTCCCGATTCCCGCGTTATTCACAAGAATATCAATTTTGCCAAAAGTTTCCACAGTTTTGTTCACAAGATTTTCCACATCCTTGTCCACCATTAAGTCAGCCCTAACTCCCAGTGCTTTCTGTTTGGAAAGTGATTCACACTTTTTGACCACAGATTGGATTCTCTGGTCATCCCTTCCAGTGATGACTACATTTGCGCCCAAAGACGACAACTTCAGAGCAATCCCTTCGCCGATACCCGAAGACGAGCCTTAAAAATAATTTTAATAAAAATATTTATAATTAAAAATAATTTTTGATACAAGAACTGTTATTCAAAATCCATAAATACCAGTTATTAATGCAACCTTCCCATTGAATGTCATTATGTTCAATCAATAGAAAGTTATTTTAAAATTTAACTTGACTTTACTTATAAAAATAAAACTTAAGTAATATATATATATATTTAATTGCTATGATATTTATAAGAATCTAATATGTGGTCAAAACAACTTCTAATCATAATTTGTGTTCAAGGTCTATAATCTATATTTATTTAATGTGAACTATCAAAAGATTTACAGTATATCTCATGATATTTTGAGAGAGAGAGAGAGAGA